ACACCCATGCTTTAGCAATCTCCAAAGCTACAAATATATGAAAAATACAAAAAGCTAAAAATCTTAGACATCACATGAAGTGCTTGCAGATGCTTGCTGGGCTGTGCCTGGCTGCTAAGTGCTTCAGTCCAGTGCCAGAAAACTTCAGAAAGTGCAAACAATCCCGGCTCCAGCAGGATGGAAATCATAATTCAAGAAGGTGAAACCTTTCTCTGGGCATCCATTTTGGGTCCCTGAGTGAGCTCCTGAGCCACGTAATTCTCCTTGGAAATGTGGATATCTTGTTGGCCCTTCTGAACTGATCTCTGCAGCAGGGCTGAGAWGTTGCTCAGGGTGGGGGACACTGTGCAGTCCAAGCACAAGATTAAGGTAAGCTACAATACAGGATTTAGAACTGGGTTTGTAAAAAAGGAAAGTTTCATTTCCTTTCTCTCTGTAATACTTTTTTCCCTTCAGTACCTTCAGAAGGAATTGATTAAAAACACTCTTCCTTTGCCTTGTTGGTATTGAAACCTTTCARTGAGAAAGGTTTGGAATAAACACTTAAAGATACCTTTTTCTGGAAGCACCAGCTGAAATARTTGGAGCTCTTCTGAAGCTCAGTTACTAACCAAAAAAAAGCAGAAACATTTCACCAGTGTGGGAGGTGCAACCTTTCTGCTTCATTCATGTATCTGCTCTTGAGCCAAAAGAACTGGTTTTCATCCCCTCAAGGCTCTGATCCTCCTGAAATGGGCCATTTCAGCCAATTTCCTCTCCAAAATATCACCTGGGCCATCTCTGAGTGACACTGACTTGCTGCACTGGGACGTTGTTTAGGCTGTGAAGGTGTTGTAACAGGTACAGTTAGTCAAGGTGTTGCACATATCCCAGTGCCTTCTCTGGCCTTCCCCAGGCTGAGAATTSATGTCCCTAATCCGCATTAAAAGAATATTTATATTTAAAGGGTGAATTAGTCTGGGATATCTCAGGATGCTCGGAGGGATCTGGCTTGCTGTCAGTCACGCTGGGAAATGGTGTGAACATATGGGCAGCTTCAGAGCGAATGTGGCTGCGCTCCCAGCACACAGCACTATGGAAAATGGAACAGTATTGCTACAGTGAGACTTTCCCTGCCAAGACAAAGCTGAATTGGGTCTCCATGGGCCTCYTGCCCCTTCAAACATGCTGCAAATTCAGCACATCTCTTGTTTGCTTCAGTTTGCAATGTACTGGTAAGAAACATAACTGCCATATGCCTGCAACCTTCTCAGCCCTGATTTTGGGTCAGCAGCCACTCACAGGTTTCCAGCACTGTAGAGGAGCCTCGCAGAACCCTGACAAAGAGACAAGGGCTCTGCATGGATCTCTCCATGCTGTGCTGTGTGAGGGCCATGCTCCAGCACACACCCTGAGCAGGATAACAACTGGCCATCAAAAGTGCCCTGCGAGACTGATTCCTGAGCCCCTTTCAACCTCGTGCCCTAAACTGGTGCATACTGGTGAGGAAGTTTCCTATTGACACAGACAACTGCACAAATTTTGGAAGGTYGTGGCTCCTCCAAGCCCATCCCAGTACAGAGTGGTCACAAATAGCRCTGAACAAATAGGCTCTAAATGGTATTTTCTTAGGTAGTTATATTTCTAAAATTTGACTTTGCAGCTTTGTTGCACCTATGAACCAGRAAAAGGTCATCATGGACCAGAAGCAAGGAGGAAAAAGGTCGGTTGTGTGGAGTACAAACATCTGCAGACACACATCCTTCTGTGCACAATGACACTGCTTGTGCCATGCTGCTGGGACAGCAGCAAATCAAACTGCCTGTGTAGGGGAGAGACCCAATATCCATCTGGGCCTTTCTCTTCAGGCACCCAGCACCAATGGCTTTGGTGTAAAATGTAAAGTGCAACGATTGAGGCACAGACTCCACGTTGGCATGTGAAGACATTTATTGCACAGTAGTAAACTCCTTATATATCATAAATTAACCTGGAAGTAATTCTACACTACAACACACTCCAATCAATTATCTTGTCTCAGAATATTGCCTTTCATGGTACTAGGTAAACAATCCCTTTTACAGTAGTAGTGTTCTTTTAGTCTCGTGTGAACTAGTAGTTACAAACTTTTCTTGTGGCCTACCTACTTCACTCATGATCAGTTTTATTTACTAATTCCAAGGCTTCTTCYGCACCAAGGACAGGAGATAGGCCTGACTTTCAAGATCTGTTSTTCTGCTGTTACCACTACCAATATTCTGTAACCCTACAGTAAATGTTCAGACAAAGAGCTCTGACTCAGGTCCTGGCACTCAAACCATGACTAAAGCATTTCARGTCTCTAAATTAATCCTTCCCAAAGCTGCAGAAGGTGGGCAGCTACACTCACTTGTTAAATAAGCTCTACGCAGTGAAGGTGCCTCGGGCTTAGCTGGCTAACGCAGCGGTGCCCCCACCAGAGAACTGTTCTCTGGCTACGGAGCAATTTCAGGGGCTGAGACAACGGGAGGCTTATGCAGCAGAAGCAGCCAGGACTGCTGCTGTACYCATGGAAATCTTCCAGCACGGGAGGTGTCTGGCACACTGTCACTGGCTTTGAGCAGCAAAAATACCCTGGCTATTTCATTGCTTCAGTGAGCAGTGACAGGCCAAGGTTCATAAGCTGGCTGCAGATCCATGAGCCATTGCACATTGCCTGGAAACCAGCAGTCTGCTGCAATCCGAGGCAGCTGCGCAGTGATCCCCAGCCTTGCTTTGGCCATGATGACTTCAAGGGCTTGGGTGTCCATAAAACTCATGATATGAGTGGTTTTGTGCTGTCCAGAACATCATGGCGGTGTCACCCCTCCAAGCTGACAGCTTGGAGCATCATTTCCCTGAGCACAGCCTGCAGAAAGAGAAGCAGGGATGCATCCCAATCCAAAGAGAGTGATCTGGACCACTCTGCTTCCATCCTGCTGACTCACCCATCGTGGTTTGCCAGGCACTGTGAAAGAAAGGGTTCCTCTGGATGAAGGATGGCCTCATCTTGATGGAATCATCTTGTGGGCAGCATTTATGTTCCTGAAAGAGTTTGGGAGCCCCATTTGCTTGTTCATCCTGCTCACCCTAGGGATTTTTCTGTAAGGAGAGGAAGTCTTGGGATCAGTGCATGCCTCCCCTAAAATGACACTGAGATCTGCCCCACTAGTCTCAAAGTAGCCAAGCATAGGGAAGTCACTGAGTGGCAATATTCCAAGCGGCACAAGGCACTGAGGAGAGCATCAGCTTCTGGCTGATGGGAGAGTCAGTTCCCCCTCTGCTGCACTGCAGGGGCAAGAGCCAAGCAGATTTTGAAGCAAGGGACTCCTGGGCACAGCCAGTCCCTCCCAGCCCTGGCCATGCAGCAGCCCCAGGAAGGACTAGGGCAGACCTGCTGCCCGCCTTGGGCAGTGCTTTCCARCCAGCTGAGAGCACAAGCTCTGCTGTAGCCCCTGGCTAAGGGCAATTAAAAATAATTAATCCATGTGTTGAATACCTTGCAGCAGCACGGAGGAAATCTGCCAAGATGTGGGAGTGAGAAAGCGTGATCACCCCCACTTCCCAGACAAGGAGTTCACACCTCGGGCTGAGCCAAACTAAAGCTGTAAGATGTGCCTGTCTGTCAGAAGCGGTGGGATGTTTGTAATCCAGCTGATTCCCACCATCTTTGCAGCCCCCATGGCTCTATTATTATCATTCCTGTTKCAAGAATTATTATTTAGCATCAAGAAGAATGAAAAGGAAATATCACCCATGTCCTTGTTACCACATTAATGCCAGCCAATCTTTTCAGCATATACCAGGGATCAGTCTTTACTGCTGGGCCACACAATACAAGCTGCTCTGGAGCTGTTCCTTGCAGTGGATCTGATCCTACCAGGCAAGTGACATTTCTGTGGTTAAGGCTCAAAACAGCAGGCTGGTCTCCTGCGGCCCAGCCCAGCAGGGAGCACCGGGCTGGGCCAGTGGAGCTGCCAGAAGCCGATCCTGGAAACACCCTCCTGCTGGGTTGGAAGAGGTGTCAGCATTCGGTGGGAGAGAGTCACCCATCCCGGCATTAGGAAAAGCTTTTTGTTCTTTAAACTGCCTCAGGCATTTAAGTCATTAAGGCAGGAAGGGCTTACTCTAAGCAGCTAGAAGATTAGTGGGAGTTATAGGATACTCTCTGCTCTAATACTCTCCCTTTTTGCTTCAGCTGTTCTGTATGTGTGAAGCAAAAAGGATGCCACCCTCATGAGAAAGAAGGTCACTGCCACTGTGGGGTCCACAGACATGGCCATGAGGAAGGAGAAGGTCACAGCCATCCCCACAGACACACAAAGGATGGTGACCAAGGAGAGAAGAAGGTCACTGCCACTCCCATGGCCATATATACAGTCTTGAGAAAGCCCCAAGCCCTTCCTACACAATGTCATGGTCATTGGCATGGGAGCGGCTACAGAAGGAGCAGCCACCTTCCACAAGGTCTGTGAGAAGCGATCCCCATGCATAAATGGACACATGTGGCTACCACCCAGCTCAGTACAGTGTCATGATATGGACAGACAATGACAGAAGGATCCTGCAAGGAGGTGGGCATGCCTGACCTCCCAGTGCTCTCCATGCTTTCAACTCAGTTATTTCAAACCTACCATCTATTTCAAAGAATCATTTACTTATTCCATGTTGCTGAAAGCCAACACTTCAAAACGCGGTGCTGAACCTGCCACACAGGGCGAGAAGCGCTTCTGGGAGCATTCCCAGCCCGGGACAAGCAGGAACACAACTGCGGGATGAAGGACTTGTCACCCAAAGGATGCCCGGTGCCCCGAGCTCCTGTTCCGCATCCACACGCTCAGCCCCATCCCCGACAGCCAAGCTGGCCCCGGGGCTCACACTTCCCCCCGCAGAGCTCCTGGTGCCGGCGGCTGCGCCCCCGTGCCCGCCCCGCGCCGGGCCCGCCTCCGCCTCCGCGGCCGCGCAAGCGCCGCGCCGAGCCGGGCAGAGCCCAGCCGGGCAGAGCCGCACCGAGCCGAGCCAAGCCGGGTAGAGCGACGCCGAGCCGGGTAGAGCGCTCCGCGTCGCCCCGAGCCGTGCCGGGCATAGCGGGGCCGGGCACAGCTGGGACGCACCGGGGAGCTACCGCCGCCGCTCCGGAGCGTTCAGCACCGCTGGCACGGACAGCGCCCGCCGCCGGCGGCCATGGAGGCCGTGCCCTCCCCGCCCTCCCGGGAGCCGCTGCCCGAGGGGACGCGCCGCGATCGAGACCCCGCCTCGCCCAGGTAGGAGCTGCGGGGTCGGGACAGGGGCGCGAAGCTGGTGCCCCGGCGGGTGGGAAGTACCGCCCTGCCGTCACCCCCGGCGATGTGGGTGGAAGTCGGTGTCACCAGGCTTTCCTAGTCCCACCGAGGTGTGTCCTGTCCTCCCACCGGGCGTGCAGACAGAGAGCCTCGCTGTCTGCCCAGCTGCCCACYTGCGATTCGGGCTCTGGCGATGCTCGCCGCCCAACTGGCGCACTGGTTGCTCCGGGGCCAGGAATACCATGCAGAGCCAATCATCCCGAGGGTCTTCTCGATCGGGCCTCCTGGGCAGGTTTCTAACCTTTAATATGGTGTGCTCTCCCTTCTGCAGCAAAGGGAGAGCTATTGTTGGGAAGCTCAGTGTGTTTCAGACAGAGCCATTTTGCTGTGGGCAAACATGGCTTTCACTCCAAAGATCTGCTCCATAAACCCCTGCATCCCTCATCATATCCCCCCGTGCCATATGCTTCCTTACCTGGTGTCTTAAGCSAGGTTGGCAGCCACAATCATCAACGTTTTCTGGAAACATCAACAAGTCCACAGTCATGGGCGAGAAGCCATCCCATATTCATGAGCACATTGGCATTTGTTGGATCTGGGCAACAGACTCAAGATTTTCAGATTCTGTTTGACCAGAGCACATTCTGAGGTCAGCTGCATACAAATTCCTTCTGATAGCCCAAGGGTTTCACTTCTGTCTGGTACAGGATATTCACTCCGGGACAGCCCTACCCACCCAGGGGCACGGGCAAGGCACTCACTGCTCGTCAGACAGCCCTGATGTCCTCGGCCAGAGGCTGCTGTACCKGTGTGTCTCAGTGTTCAGTGACTCTCACACAGTCCAGCACTGGTTTAAATCTCCTGCCTTCAGTGGAGGTCTGAGCTGTCACTGGAGCCATTTTCTTTGCTTGTCTGAGTAATCCTTGACCGTTCAAACGGGTTTTGAAATTATTACTGTAGCCTGCAAGAGATAAATTATGGAGTTAATTCATCTGACACAGGTGGATTTTTAACTTCACCCATGCTGCTCTCTGGCTTAGCTCCATGGTCCCCACCCTCTGCCCTAGCCAAGGCTCTTCATCATCAATGCTCACCTCATCACCAGAAAAGACAGATGTCAGAAAACAGCCCCATCCTCCTGGCCTCTTTTAGCCTTGGACACCAAGGTGGGGATTTTCTTTTCCTTTCTCTTTTCATTTCACTCCTCTTTTCTTCAAAATGAGGCTTAGCAAACATGATTTTCCCAGCGCAGATAGGGCTGTTCTGGCACTGAAGGCTGAGTGGGAACCTTGAGCCCTCCRTGTCTGGCTCTATCCCAGCACACACACCTGTACCATGGCAGCAGCAGCAGCTGCCTGGAGTAAAGGTAAGGCTGCTCACACGAGTCAATGGAAAGGATTATAAAACTAAACTTTTCCTRGCAGACTACGTGGGAAGCAGAGTTTTGCAGTCTCATTAATTTTTCATGATCATATAACATACTCAGGAGTCTCACTAACAAAAAGACTGTAGGTCTTCTCAAGGGTATGCACGATCCTGCTGCTAGACTGAAAAAGTAAAACAAAAGAACTCCACAGGAATTGCTTAGTGCACAAGCATTTGCTGCAGCCAAAGGAGGAGATGGATTGCTCAGGAGTGCCTGTCTCTCCCTGTCAGAGAGACAGGGAGCTAGATAATGAGGTGACAGTGAAATGCAATGAACCRTTCCCTAATCCCAGGGAAAGGGCACTCTTATCTCCTTAAAAAATACAAGGGGAAAAGCTCTTTTTTTCAAGYGCTCCACTGCAGTTTTGCTGGTGTTATGTTCAAAGAGAAATTTAAATTCCATTATAAAAGCATATTCTTAAAAAGTCATTTACAGCTCTCCAGGAAAAAGCTATTAGTCTAGATGGAAGCTGACCTATAGCACATGGATTTAATCCAGAAAGAATTCATATTTCTTTTTCATTTGAGAACACGTGTACAGCTGATATGCAAAAAAAAACCTTGCTAGAGGAAGAAAAAAAAAAGGGAAAGAAAATAAAACTAGGTTCCTTTTTTTTAATTAATGAAATTTTGTGGCACCTAATGTCTAATTGAGCAAACATTTTTAATGAAAAAGAGTTCCAGTTGTAGTCAAGGTACAGACTCCTGCCCTTTTTCTCCTTGTTTTTATTCCCTCTTGAGATTCCTCTGTCAACAGAAGTTKTATTTTGAGTCAGGCATCAAACAGCTCCATTCAGTCGGTAGGTGTTTCCCATCTTTCATACGCAAAGTGCTGCTTTCCTGATCCTCTCCTTAGTATGCAAAGGGGGAGATGATCTATTAAAAAAAAAAGAAAAAAAAAGCAGTGCTTACAGAAATGGGCTCGGGGATGAGGGTGGAATTAGGCAGACCAAGCAAGGAGCCGTTCCTCCAAAAGGCTGAATGGTTTTGGTCCATTTCCAGAACCACGTGTGCTCTCCTGCTTTGTGGCTCGGGAAGTGGGGTGGGAGGGAGGGAGGACGAAAGGATRCAGCAGGACCAGAGAGTGGCTGGAGTGGCTTAGGAAAAAAAGGAAGGTGATCGTGTGCTACTATTTCCCTGCCCGCGAATCTTCCTCCACCCCAGCTCAGCTCTGTGTGCTGCAGAACGAAACCATCCCGAGGGKACCGTGCTGGGAGCGTGCAGCCAACATGGCATGCTTCCAGTAAACCATCCTGCTAGGGCAGAGTGAGCTGGGAAAGCCTAAAGCCAGGTCTGCAKCCATCCTCTGTGGGGCAGAGAAGAAGGAAATACCCTGCTCCAAGGGGTGGACTCACAGCATGTAGCCCTTGGGGATATGCTCCAGTCCTTTTGCTGGTTCCTCCACACAAGGTAGGCCATTTGTGCCGTGGTACGCATCTCAGAGAAGCACTGCTCTACTCAGAGTGACCCGGGCAGGTTCATAAATTGGATTATTATTCTGTCTAGACATCTCAGGGGAAGTGACAGGGAAGCAAATTGTGAGAGCAACACAGCTCACTGCTGTGGGTAACAGGAACAGTTAACCCTAGTCTATCTCCTCCCTTAAACCCCTTCTTTTCTCCTTTCCCAGCATCTCTCTGRTTGCATCCAGCTGAGCCTGGAGGAGAAAATGGAGGCTGTCAGCTGCCTCTGTAGGATTTTCTGTGGCTGAGAGACCATTTCTGCCCACAYAATTCCAAAGATATCAAATATCTGACACACCCAGAGTGGGAATGAATGTTAAAAATAGAAGTCTTTGTCAGTGTCAGCGTGACAAGAAGAGTCCAGTGTAGTGCTTTGCCCTCTTCTCGTGCCTGACAACACACATATCATAAATCCCCAGAAACATTTTTCTAGCACAGTTCAGGGTCCTGAGAGCCCAGAAAAGTAATAGTGACATGGTTTCAGGCAAAGAAGGACCAGCCTATGTGTCTGGTGCAGACCTCAGCAGAACAAAGGTTAAGCTCACCAGCATTATGGCTAATTGGGAGAGCAGCAAGTGGAGACTCGAACTCTGCTGAGCTGCCAGCAGTGATTATCCGAACCAATCATTATTTGCAAGCTGCAGGTTGCCCTGGAGATTGTGGATAACCAAGGTCACATCAACATGGAGTTGGAGAGGGATGAGCATAAGGAAMTCATATCCGGAGGGTAATTGACAGAGCTGTAATTGTTTAGTCTGAAAAGGAGTTAATGAAGAGAAGTTGTGAGTGAATGATCCAAACTCGCCAAAGTTATCCCAGAATCTGAAGTCACTGAGCAGGCCAGGGACTGGGTTAGGAGACGACACGCGGGGGAAGAGCAGAACTTGACAGCATTTCACAGCAAAGATGGTAAACAAGGAGAGTGTGATTTCATGTGAAATATTAGACTCAAAGCTACCAAYGTATGTGCAGAAAACCCTGAGGCAATCTGCAATATCCAAGAGTTTGGCATCTGCTTTCCCCACCGGGAGGCTTTCTAGCTGAGGGGTTTTTGGAGGAGGAATTTTTCATTGTATGCTCTCCTACCTCTCCCTGACCACGTTCAAAGTGTATTTTGTAAAAGCCTTTTTGTTCTGTCCAGCATCACATATTCACCCTCAAATGAGGCAGACAGGCTAATTTAATGAAAAGCCTCTGGTTCCAGGTTACTATGCACATCCAGCAGTTTAGAGGGAAAAGAATTTTGCTTTTCCTTTGAAGAAAAAGATGAGTAGTACAGGTATAGGAACAGCAAAATACAAGATGTCAGTGTGACAGTGTCTTTATGAATTATTATGCACTGCAGGAGAGCATCACCTATTTAAAGTGTGCAAAAATTAGGGAAAACAACAGAATGAAGGTCAAGGAAAATGAGTATCTTAGATGCAACAAAAAGGGAGCGAGAAAATGTCTAGGCTTTGTGAAAGCACAACACTACCATGACCTCAGCTCTCTGATGAAAATTCCCTGCAGTACAAAACTACAAACCCCAAACAAGTCACTGGACACACGGGAAGAGCATGATTTACACTTCAAGCTTGAGAGCGTGGCTTGAGGGACGCTCCAGGTCAGCTCTCCCAAACACCTCTGCCCCTGCAGCTCAGCAGCACTGGAGGCATGTGGTGGTTCAGCATCTTCCCATCAAGTTGCTTCTATAATTACTGGAGAAAAGCAACGACTAATTAAAGATGTAATTCCATTTGTTGACTGCCACAGACCCTAATCTTTCCTTGGTGTGTCTCAAGTGCTCCTACCCTGTGCTGCACCTGAATCCCTCCCTGTGCAGGGATGACTCTGATGAGGCTGTAAGAACCCCAGACACGGGTTCAGATTGCATCTCCTGAGCAGCTTTGCTGGCMCTGCATTTGTAATCTCATGTATGAGAAGTGTGGCATCTCCTATTGTGAACCACCTTTACACAGAGCTCTAACACAAATCACATGCTTGAAAGGCCAGGTAATCCTGTCACTAATCCACCTGGGACAGGACAGCAAGGACTTCAAGCCTATTGTTGATGTTATTTGACAAGTTCTGGKGTGACTGGGATATTGTCACAGTTCAGGAGCTCCTGCTTTGCCAGCAGCTCTCCCTCCTGCTGGGCTGAACCAGCTYAAGTCTTCCCAGTACCTTGGCTTGCAGCTCTGAGGCAAATGACAGTGGAACTGCAGGGGACAACCTTATCTCAACCTTATCTCACTGAGGTATGCACACACCTGTCTGCTGGTTTTCTGGCACCTGCTTCAGCACAAATACTGACTTTTTTCCAGCTACTTTGCATTTGCACATCAACTATGGCTTCTGAAGTGAGGACACGGGAACGTGCTATCCGTGTCTGTAACTGCTGCAGCTTTCATCAGGCTTAGAAACTAAACTTAGCAATGGATGGTGCTTAATCAGTCCAGATTTCTCTGTTGTTGGTCCCTGGATTGGCACAGTGCACAAGTGAAGCTGAGTGTGATGCCTGTGCCATGAGTGTCCACATCAGCACTGGTGTAGCTGCTACCACAAACATTATTTTGCCATAATGATTTTAAYGAAATAAGCCCATTTTGCACAATCATGAAATATATAGTTCATCAGTGTTGATAAACTTAATTGATTTTGAAAAGTACATAGCACAGATTGCCAAGGCCAACATGTCCTCCTTCCTGGGAAAAATAGCAATTTCCAAGCAATACCGAGCTAATAGTATTCTTCAGATTCTTTTGTCATAGATATTCTCATGCCAGTTAACTTTGGGTCTAATTCCAGATACATGTAATCACTAAAATTCTGCCTTTTTCCATGGCTGTGAGAAAAATAAATGAGAGGGACTCTACAAAATCTCAAAAACATCCCTTCCCCAACTTCTTACTCTTATTTATTCCTGCATCACACCAGGGGCCTCAGTCTAAAGTTCATCTCACTGCAGTCTTGCTCCAACCCTCATAATTCTTTGATTACCTGAAACACTCTGATTCTGGTTGGCCTGAACTATTTGTCCTATCTAATCCTGGATGCCAGGCACTGCAGCAAGACATAATTCAGCTGTAAGAGACCGTGGCACGTGTTCTGMACAAGGACCAGAGAGTGCTGGTATTTGCATCTCTTGGGACAGCAATTCCTAAAGCTTTTTTTGGGTCAGAAGGATCTCAGTCTGCTGTGTGTAAAGGGTTTTTGGTGTCACACAGACTAAGCAGTCCCTCAAAGTATTATTCAAGCTTTCTCCAAGCTAGAAAAAAACCTCTCAGGCTCCATAAATCAAGAACTATAGGAATGAAATAATGTTTTTAATTCATTGGAGAGAAGAAAGTGTATCCTGCAGACACCTCATTACTTGGGAACTGGAGTCTGCAAATGATTTGTATCAGTAAATCCAGCAGCCAGAGGACAGTGAAGTTTCAAAGGATCTATAGAGATCCCAGTCCACCCCCTTCCTACAAGATAAGATCAATAAAATCTGTTKCTGTCATCCTTGGGAGATGTGTGTCTAAAAAGTTCCTGAAGAGTCCAATGGAGAGTGCAGGACATGGGAGCYATTAGGGGATGTGCCAGGCTGGAGGCTGAAGCCCCTGTTACACACCACAGCCCTCAGGTTCCCTGCTCAGCTGTGTCAGTGCCAGGCATGACTCACTCCCCTGCTGACCCAACATGAAACAGTGCCAGTCCTTCTGCAGAGCAATCACACTAATTAATCCTCCCAATGAGTGCAGATAATTGAGTGGCTTCTTCACATGCAGATTCCTCTGGTTTCTGTTTKCCCAGGCCTCCTTAATTTCTCTGGGTCCTGAGTTAGGACCCMCCTACACAGTGAAATAGTTTGGAGAATTTTTGGGGGGATATTACCCAATTTTTAAAACTTTTGGAGCAACACACGCAAAGGATAGATTGAAGAATCCTCCATCACTTGGGATTCTTGAGTGAGTCATGGATGTCTTTACAAAAAACACAATCCTGTTCAGCCATAAGGCTGACTCCTGGTACAGGATACAATGGGTGAGTTTTGAAAWTTGTGGGAGGTCTGTGAGCATCTCTTGTTCTCAGGATGTGACTCCCCAGTGCAGCCTTTCAACCTCTCTGCTGTTTTACCTTACTTTTCATTTCTCTCATAGAGAAAAACAAAATGCAGGACCTTGCCAGACCTGCCTCGCCATGCCAGAGATCGGGAACACTGAGCTCAGCTACAGTGGCACTTCCTGGGAAAAAATCTGCCCAGTCCAYCACTGCCCCATTCCTGCATCCCCCAGGCTGGGGGAAGACAACCTGCCCTCCTCCAGCCACACGCTTGGGCCGGTTTCCACCCAGTCCAACGGCCAGGTGCCATCGAGCTCCCAGGACTTGCAGCAGCATCACCCGTATCATCCCTGCACCCAGGAGGAGTCCCGAGACAGCTACAGCCTTCCCTCAGTCCTTGGGCATGGCGAGAGGCCCGTGCTGTGTTCCCACCTTTCCAGCGGTGATCTCGTGCCAGCCTCCCACCACGAGGCCCCGGAAATGCCCTGGAAGCAGTGGTCCCCCGGGCAGCGGCAGCCAGTGCAACATCATGTTGTCACAGTCAGGTAAGGGGCACATAGAGGGCGGCTCAAAAGAGCATCTTCCAGACTTGGTGGGGGAGAGTGGGAGGGATGAGCAGGGTCTGAGCTGGGATGCATGAAACACGGGTTTGCTCTTCAGCTYGGGGCAGCAGCTGCCCCAAAATGCACAGAAGGATCCAGTTTGCTCTCTAGCTCTGTATGGGCATACATGTCAGTGAGAGGTGGGATTTCCTTCTCAAGGGACTCACGGGGTAAAGCCAAGGTCACTCAGTCACTCCTAGGTCACAGCTGTGAATATGCCCATCTTCCTTTACCTTTGTATTTTCTCCCTTTGCACTCCAAGACACCCAGCTGCCAGTCCTTTATCTTGGCAGAKTTCTCAGTGATASAAGCAGAGTTCATTCTTTTCCTGTCCCCACAGAAGCTGCTGCCAGTGCTGGAAGGCAGTGGCAGGCGAGGGTAAGTGCTGGTTACAGCTGAGCAGTGAGAGATACAGAAGCAGGGGACATTATTTGGTTTTCCAGGTTGGGCAGCGACCAGGGTATGAATTCTTTGTTGTCCATGACAGAATCATTTGTGTGCAAGGTGCCTGGGTAACAACAGCCTGTGCTACACCTTCTGCTCCTTCCAGTCAGCACCATCCTTCCTCCTGTGTGTGCCTTTTAGAGTCCACTCTTGGCAMAAGAGACCATGATCCCTTCACTGCTCCAGCCATAGCCACTGAATCCTGATAAAAGATGGCACAGGATTCCTTCCTTGCCTGTGTACAGCATTGCAGTGTTAGGCACAAAAGCCCTTTACAGTCTCATTTTTCCAGCCATTTACAGAGGATTTCATTTTCTTCTGTTTGCAGTATGGAGGAACTGCAGTCAAAGGAGCCTGGATCCTTTTCTGAATCCTTTTCCTGGATCCTTTTCCTGGATCCATTTTCACGAATATGCTAGTCACAAAATTGCCAACCACGTCCTCTGTAACAGGTTATTTAAGTAGGAAGCACAGCTGGATTGCAAATCCCTGGCAGAGTGTGCAGCACCAGCAGTCAGAAAAGTGATAACATAATAATGCCAGAATGAGGTTTTTAATCCAAGCAAATCTGCTTGAGGAGCTATTGTGAGGGAATTAGCACAGGCTGGGCAGCGCACTGCCAGAGAGAGACCTCGCTTTGATAATCTGGGGAGGCTTTTGCTCTGCTCCTGTCTGTCCCAAATTTACAGAGCATTAGCTAGTAGTGACAAGCAAAACACAGAATCATTTATTACATGAGCCACCATGAGTGACTGCCATGGGCAACTCTCCTCCACTGCTTTTCCATTTCTGGCACACAGAACAGGGTTAGGAAGGATGAGCTGCCTCTAGGTAACCAGTTGGCTGCTGCATGGAGGCGAGGCCATCTGCCTAACACAGATACTGGGGTGCAGCAGGACCTTCTCCCAGTTCAAGCAGCAGTGTAGGAGAGGGAGAGGAGGAGGGAGCACTGGTTGAGCAGGGCTTGGCACAGCTGAGGAAGGAAGTGGGATCAGTTCTCTGGAAGTTGTGTCCAAGCCAAGGCCGTGCCAGACTGGAGCATATTTCAAGGGGTTGTCTCCGTGCAGAGAAAGAGCAGAACGAAAGGTCCTGCAGATACCTGAGCCACCAAGAAAGCTTGTCCTCAGGGATTCATTGACAACTTTGGATCYCCKAGGGAAGGCTTCKTTATTTCCCACCTCAGAGCCCTTCRARTGAYACATGCTCCTCTGTGAAGAAAATGCTGATAAAATATTTTTAGCTGCTCCGCTGRCATTYTGCTYGTATAGCCTGAAAAGACACAGTTTTTGGAGGGTCCCAGGAAACAAATGAGCGCCACCTTTTTTTGGGAAAATCCTCATTGAGCTAAACAGGAAATAAAAACTATCTATAGTTGTTGCTAGCCCAACTCATGAGATTTAATAAAGAGGTTTGCTTTTGTCAAGAAACAGTTTAAGAAGGGCAGGAAAAGCATTTAAACCAGATAGATTTTGATGGATAAGATCTGCAATGGGATTTCTATGGGACTGCAGAGTTAATGTSCACTACTCTCTGTGAGGTTTTTTGAGAGGGGCAAAATGAGGAGTGACTACATGGCTTCCCATCCTGTTTGGTTAAAATGGGAGAGGAAAAAGCTCTGTTATTCATTAAACTAATTCAAACAGTGCCAGAACTGTGTCAGCACTGGCTCACCTTGGTGCTTAGAGCTCTGCAAGGGTTAACCTGCTCAGGGAACAGCCCAGCACTGGGCATCCCAGGAAAATACTAAATGAACACATCTTTTTTCCTTTCTATCTGCAGACATGACAAAGCTTTCAGGATGCCAAAAAGGTATGTTTAACAGCAAAAGCTTCCTGCCCTTGCACCCTGTGATCAGTGYTCTCCTGTTCTGCTATTAGGAGAAGCAGAGTGTTACTGCTGGTGACATCCCAGCAGGCTCAGCTCCCGAGGCGAGGTCAGCCTTCCCACTCCTTGGAAAAATCTCCATTTGCTTGTGAGATCAATTTAACCTGCATTAATGAATAGCAACACTGTCTCAGTAGCTGTTCTTGGGCAGGTGCCTGGTAAGATTAATCCAGGCACTATCAGATGAGCAATAAGGAAAAGAGCCCATCCATGAAATACACTCATYTTTTCAAAGGACAGAAAATTTTAAATACGTTTATCAAAATTAAAATAATTTTGTTTTCTACTTCTGTTTAAAAGCTGACTTYTGTAAACTATTGTTTCTGGATGGTTTGGGTAAGCACCTTCCGTAGTCAGAGGCTGCAGCAGTTTTCTGGGTTTTTTTTTTTTGTTCATTTGTTTGGGGTTTTTCTGTTTGTTTGGTTTTTTGGTTCTTTTTTTTCTGGTAATTGGACACGGAAACAAACAAAACAGCCTCCAAAATTTAGGTACGCAAATGAGTAAAGGGCAGTTTTGTTAATTTTCATAGTAAAGACTGCATCTATGAAAACAAACTGGATAAGGCARTTGTAAATTGGAAAAAATGCCAACATTTAAAAAAAATCAAAAGTCATGTGAAAAAGTTTTTGAGGTGCTTGTGACAATTTCTAATKATGAAATAGCTGCAGTGGAGTCCCAGGCAAAAGGGGCAAAAGAGCAGGCAAGCAGAAACATTCCATTGCAAATTAAGTTCATAAMTATTTCACTTCCCTTCACAAATACTTGTCAACTATTTTTGAACGAAGAATTTCTTATATTTCAGAAATACATCAGAACACAGAAGAGCTACCTAAAACCTGCCAAACCAGAGCAGGACCCCATTCCCCTCTTATATCTCACTGATATTTCTGAGGAAGACAAAAATTTTGATACAGTAAAACCTGCACTGTTAAAAAATCTGTGAGAGTAAATTTCATAATGAATTCTATATGGGAGACAGTTTGTCCCAAAGGAAAARCAGAACTTGGACAGAAAAATTTGCATCAGCTCTTTAAGAACAAAAGTAACTGGCAAAAAATACTTTGGCCAGAGTAATCTGCTTCCCTGGAAGGGTCTGGATGGTATAGAAATGTCATGAAAATTGAGTGAAATGTCATTAAAATTATATCTATTCTAGTGAATACATATGATTTTAGAGCAGTGTCTAAAMCCACTAATTTAGACCAACAACAGTSGGCTTGCTCAAGTCAGTTACCTTCAGGGACTCTTCAGAATAATCCARAGATTTCTCAGGGTCCAGTTTGGAAATCTGCAGACCAAACTGTTGCAGCCACCAGCTGACATTGCACAATGCGGGGAAAATGAAGAGGCTCTTAATAAATGCAATCTTTGAACTTAAATATTTAAAGCTTCATTTTGCCCCAGGACACAAGGGTCTGGTTTTTATTACTTTGATTGAAAAAGCTGGAATATGCAGGGAGGTAAAATGTAATTACCCGAGTTAATTAGAGTTGCCTGCAAACATCCAGTTAGAGGTGTAACATGTTCATTAATAGCTGCACTAGAGCCTCCAAGCTTCGSAATAAATAACTGCTCAAACCAGAGACCCTGATTTTTTCCTTCCTGTTACTAACACCTCATTGGTTCAACAGCAGGCTTTGTGCTCAGAGCAGAAGCATCTTACCAGCTGCATTTTTTCTTCTCCTGTTGAATGCAGTTACTCTCAGCTGATCGCAGAGTGGCCCCTGGCCATGCTGCTGCTGTGCTGCATGGTGGCAGTGATCTGCACCGTGGCTGGGCTGCTGGTTGGGGATTTGCCTGACTTTTCACAACCCCTAATGGTAAGTCACTTCAACTGATGTATCAATAGGAACATAAGGAAAATCCATGCCCAGTCAGTGATATCTCTTCAAGAGGAGCAGAATGCGCCAGTCCTGCACAGCTGCTCCTGACTCACAGGGAGAGCACAACCCATGCCAGTGGCAGCCACCAGCCCATCCCTCAGCCATGCTGTGGACTGCCACCAGTGCCTTCACTCTGGTGTGGAGACACTGCCAGCACAAACTGGGATTGATCCCTTTGCTCCTCTTCCAAGGCTGGCAGGCTGGGATTGCCACAGGGAGTAGCTAGGCTCGGCAGAGACTGGATGGAAGAGCTGGCTTTGCTCCTACAGTCCGTGCATGAGGCTCTTGACATGGAGAACATGCCCTGTTCTGAGCACTATGCACATGGGATRTTTTCCATGCAGAATGCCACATTCCCTAAAGTCATCCCTGTCTCTGGCTAATGGAGGAATCAGGAGAAAATAAGAATACACTAGAGTTTGTGCACAAAAATGAGAATTAGTCCCATTTCTGTACGGGACTATTACATTTGAAAAAGAGGATAAATTCTTAGGAGATCAGTGAGAGATAATTGTAGCTATTGTTTCTGGGAAGGGAATGGGAATGGGGACACATTTTTTCTCTCATCTCTGGGATGTTTTCCAGGCAAAGTTCAATTCATGTATATCTCCAAGATGCAGTAATACATACAGTTTCCATGTATCAGAGGAGGCCTAAGGACAGCTGAGCTGAAGTGGAGCTGTGACAAAGCCCTTTTCCTTGGTGCAGGGTTTCGAGCCACGGGACACTGACATTGGCAGGAAGCTCATTGTGTGGAGGAATGTCGAGAGCCATACAGGCTACAAGAAGACCCTTTCCCTTTCTCCCTATGCCAAGAAGAAAAGGTATTTGAGCTTGGTTCAGAGGGTTTGAGGAACAAGTTGGCTGTAAAGTTACAGATTCAATATTCCAAAATATATATGCAAATTCGAACATACTTTCTATGCTTAAAAGCAACTGAGACACTGGAGACTTTGAAATCTGTGTGCCTGCAATGGATTTGGGCTCCTTTTCACTGTGTGTGGCACCAGAGCCTTGTCAGTGAATGTAACTCCGCGCCAGACACTCCCTAGTAAACAATAATAGCTATTGACTATAATGTGCCCTCTCACTAGCTATGATGACCTTGGCATTGGCAGAGGACAGAAGGCTGCTCAGGGAGAACAAGCAGCAAGGACACGGAGAATGGTGGAAACCACCTATGGAGCAGATGGATTCTTCTGTGGTCCCCCTGGTGAGTGAAATCTCAATAGGGCTGTAAATACTGCATACTGAGAATTCAACTGACAGAGTTGTCAGAGTTTAGGACACAGGAATACTCTGAATTTGCTCTAAGCAAGCAGCGTGTACAATTCCACCTGTTAGAGCTCTGATAGTGCCYTCACAGCACTTTATAACTCAGTGGTCAGAAAAGGCTGGTTCAGAAATTCTGAAGAGCTGTTTCTCCTTTTAGCTTGCTTCTTCCTTTAAAAATATACCTTAAAAGCACACATTAAAGGACTAATGTTTTCACCATTTACTCCTATCAAAAGTGAATACGCTGAAAAAAAAGCGTAGCCCCACTCGTTGTCTGCTCCCTCTCCCTTGTCTGCTCCCACCCCCTCTCTGTTCATTCTTTTCTTCTTGAAAAATGTAAATATAAATGGAGAGAAAAATAGAAAACCAACACCCCCCCACCAATTTGTCCCAAAACAGGCATTAGTAAGTAGAGACAGGAGGAACAGCATGCAGATATTTGTATTCTCCTCCCAGCTTCTATCCACCTCTGAAACGAGTCACACCAAATTGGCAGGTCCATGGGGGTTTTTGGCTGAGCTCGAGTTCCTCCCCTGTTCCAGGAGTGTAGAGCCATATGTGATYGGTCACTAAAGGCAAGGTGACATTTGATTTTGAAAATGCCCTGATTCTGCTGGCCAATTTCAAGGAGTAGGGTTGAGGTCACACAAGGCATATGCTACCCCTCACTACTGTCTTGTGACCTGCTTCCCTACAGGGAGCCCTCCAGGACAGTCCTTTGGACAGAGATTTATATTTCTTTTTTTCTATGAACAGAGAGTCTACTCCAAACAGCCTGGGTGATTCATCTTCATTACCTRACCCTTTTATAATTTTTTTCTTCTTCTTTATTACAGAAAAGAGCTATTCCCAGCTGGTATTTATGTCCACAACCGCTGGGAGCTTATGGAATTTGCAAGCTATTCAGTCTATGTGTCAAATGGAACAAGACAAGGTCAGTATGGCAGGAAGAACACATGTATAGGCTGTCTCTTTTCTGTCTGTTGCAATCTTTGATCTCTTGCTGAAAGGACGCCAGACAAAAAACAATGTAAGATATGCAACAGGTTTCACCCTGGAGGATTCCAGAGCATTTCACCTACTTGGCAATACAGGGATGATCCCACCTGACCGTTGCAAATTAAACAAGAATAAATGGACACTGAACAGGAGTGGTCCAGAAGCCAAAAGTGTCCATCAGAAGCTGCTGAGGATTTTGGGCAGCAGAACCTAGTTACAGAAAYGGAGCTACCAGCTTGCAGACTGGCAAAAAGTTCTATACGTGGGAAGTTTGTATGGATAAACTGCATTTGCCACAGGAGSCAAATTTTCAAACCTGCAGTTATAAAATATAAATAATGGATTGGTTTTAATTTTTTCAAAAGGCTACAAACTTTCCATAGATTTGGTGTTTGGGATTTGTCACTGGGAGGATAGCAGGGGGTGAGTGATACACCTTGGGTAAAGAGGAAAGGGGAAAAAGGAGAG